CTTTAAATGAAAAAAATTTCACTCCATATTTTCACAATATATTTTTGCATGTAGGATAATCTCTCGTTCCATTTATGATTCTCTATACACTGTGTCCATCAGATACTGAAAATGGTATCGAACACGGTAGATTTTCACTTGAACGAAAAGATTCTTCCCAATGAACCCGCAGTTTCCAATTTTTCATTTCATCAAGTGTCAGAGTTGTACGATTTAAGCTTCAAATTCCAGATCTTTTCTAATATTCATTCGATTGCCCGGAGAAGAATTCGACGCACTTCCATTCGATGTCCAATGCATCAAATTATATATTTATTATCTCTCGTGCGTAGAATATCGATATGCTCTCTCAACGGTGTGTGAGAATCTCAAATTTAAAAAGAGTCTATCGTATAATGAATTCAACTTGAAACGAAGCAACGAAGAAAAAAAAGAGAGAGAGAGAGAAAAGCGAGAAGAAATAAAAAAATCAAACAGGATCTGGTACGACTGTCCGGTGTCTACGGTAGAATTCACTTTTGAGCCGCTGTCCAAGCCGGTGGCTCGACGTTTGGGCTATCTTTCTCGATGACACGAGCATAACGGCGCCAGGGAGGCCATATAATTTGAACTTTTCTGTCACGGTGACACGTGCGCAATTTATTTCCGCTCCCCTCTCGGACCGCATTTTACTTTGCCGGCCTCGCGGCTGGCCACTCGCGCTCGAAAAATAAAAATTGCCGACCGTCCGCAACGAAACGGGGTTCTACCTAGAGATGGAACGAGAAGACAAGACTCGACAGAGAGAGAGAGAGAGAGAAACGTGCGACATTATCGCGATAATGCAGCGTCGTCTACCGCCAAAGTAGCACGCTGTATATCCATTACTATTACCTTTTTTATTTTCATTGCCGTACGTGTGACCGCCGCGAAATAACCACTTCCAGACCTTGTGTCCTCTGTCCCGATTCGATGGACGATCATAAATTCCTCTCCGCTGATCCTTAATAGCCCTCGCGGGATTGAACGTTGGATTCCTTCAGCCGTGCCGGATCTGAAAACGCTTCGCTTTCTAACGAGTTTCTTAACGGCGATCGAAGTGTGAAATTTCGTGTGAAATGAAAAGCAACAGGGGCAAGTTACAATGCAATAAAGAGCGCGAGCTAAATATCGTTCGAGCCTCTGAAAAATACGCTGTCGTAAATATAATTTCGGCCTTTTTTGGAGCAGTAGTTTCAGTATTGAGATCAGAAGATCAGATTTCATCCTACGAATTCGAGGATCAGGATGGAACTTGATGTCATTTTTAATACATTAACTCGTCGAGTGAATTTCATTATTAACCAGAAGAGCTTGGCTTTAGAATTCTTTCAGAAGGGAAATTTTCCCAATAACATCCCTCCCCGATCTTAAAAACGAACTGGAATAAATTAGTCAATCCTCGCGAGTGGTCCCCTCTCCTGAAATTCGACAGAAAATTTCATACGGACCGAGGACAAAGTATAGGATGCTTCAGATAGACAATCGTCACAGTCAATTACATAGGTCACTTTGAAGGAACAATGTGGGTCACTCGAATTGTCCGTAGTATCTGCCCGAGGGTTAAAATCACTTTGTAACGATACTTCGTGAAACTGAAATTGTTTCAGACAATTTACAATGCAGATGCACGAAGTGACTACTCCTCCGCTCGCGCAAATACCGTTGCTTTTACCAAACGGGAAGTTTTGCGAAACCGCGGGGTCGATCAAGTTTTAACGGAATCCTAGGTGTAGTTCGAACAAAGGATTTCTTGTATGTATTCTCTGAAACCGATTGTTACCGAAGTTATCGGTTCGTCCATTCCCTGAAATTGGCAAACGACGGAAAGAACCGAAACGAATTTAACTTTCCCTCGTCTTCGTTTGATTTCTTTCCGTGGACAGCTACTGCTCCGCGTAGCGGTAGCTGTCTGAGGCGAGCCGAATTCACGTCGCAAATAGACTGGCGAAATTCGTCGAAACAATTCGTCCGCCTCAAATTAGAATTGACCGTGGAACGCGAGAAGGCGAGAAGGGAAAAAATCGAACAGGTGCGGACGAAAGATTCGATTTAGAGCTAATGGAACGTACATGTCACGGAGTTCCCTCCGCGCCAGCTAGCGTATAAAACTATTGGCAGTTACATTTGTGTACGTCTTCAGCTTTCCTATCTTTCGCTTCGACTCGAGTTTTACGACATTCTACTATACAGTATTATACAGGCTGTTTCGTAACTTGTGGAGCTCCCACTTCGGGAGGTGATTGTACGCGTAAAAATAATGAAAAAGAAAATCATAGAAATATATGTCCTATCTGTCTTCGTTTATGAGATGTAATGAACTTTCTGTTTTAATTACTTTTGCAAAAGAATGCTCGAAATGACCACGTTGCATTTGAAGACAAGCCTGCACGCGTCTTGTCATTCATCTGGTTACTCTCTCTATCATTCCTGGTGTTTCTCGAATTTGTCGGAAGCCTTGCTCTATTCTATTTCGAAGTATTTCAGCGTGTTCAATCGATGTTGCGTGTACAATAGATTTTCAATGTCCCCACAAATGAAAATCTAATGGATTCAAATTCGGAGAACGAGCAGGCCATGCAATAGGACCTCCGCGACCAATCCATTTATTTGCAAAGTGTTGATTTAAAAATTGCCTGGCCACTCGGCTAAAATGCGGCGGAGCTCCATCATGTATAAACCGCGTACGAATAATCTAATATCGACTGGAACTTCCCCTAATATTTCGTGTAAACGCGTGCTGAGAAAATCAACGTACTTTGTGCCTGTTAGTTTCCCATCAAGAACAAAAGGCACAATTAAAAATTTATCAATTATTCCTGCCGATACGTTTCAACTAAACTGGTGTTGATGTCTTGAATGCACAATAACATGTGGGCTTTCTTCGTCCCAATTATGATTATTATGAAAATTAAATATATCATCCCTGGTAAACCCTAGCTTACTAGAGTTTGCTCTGTTTATAAAATTCAGGCGTACAATCAGCTCCCGAAGTAAGTCCCACAAGTCACGAAACACTCTGTATATCTCCCTGTTGCATTGGCAATTAAAGAAATTGTTCTTTTTTCAACTGGTTTGCGGACCGTAACGAGTGACCGAACCGTATACAATAATTCGTCGCATTCTTTTCCTTTTGAGCTCGCCGGTGTGATATCACTGGATAAAAATTATCAAGAGGTAACGTACTCGTCATTCGTTTTGTCCGGGTTTACATTTAAATATACTGAGAAAATGTTGCAATTTGGGACAAACAATTCTGGACGTGCGTGGCAGGAGGTTAAGACGTCTGTCACTTGCGGAATGCTCTATACTAAACGTGGACTCGAACGAATTTTCGATATAGTGGATAAAATCGACAAAGACTTGTCCAAGTATACTTATTTAATGTGCCGGTACGAGAACCACTAACGCGATGGCTAGAAACTTTTTTATAAACAAATTTTGAACAAAACGACGTTATAATTATAACAGAGTCGATATTTTTAAACTATTCAACAAACTGTAGCAATACATTTTATATTAGTGTCACGTAAGAAGAGTTAAGTTAGTAAAATATCAAAAATGTAACCTCTTATTCCGTGTTGCGACTCGGATATCTTCGGAATTGTGGCAATTAGCTAAGTATTGGTTTAACTAGGTTAACGTACACAGGGTTACCGAACCATCTTCTATATTAACTGTGGCATAACCTGAAGCAGTAACTTCTGAAAACAACGTCGAACATGATCAAAACTGCACTGAAATGGAAAGATAACATGCACGACTCGTGAAAGTAACGATTAAAGAATAACAAAACAGAGCGTCGCGTCTCTTTTTACGAATTTTACATTTTTATACATCACATGTCATCAGCTTGATACGTCATACATCACGTGTATATTGCGAATGCAATTCTAAACACTTTCCTAGAAGAAGAAGGCGAAGAAAAAGTTGGAAGCACGAACAAATTTTTCGAGATATTAGGAAGGAAATAGACAGATAACGCAATTAAAAAATTATCACTCGCTACTGAGAAACATTTCGAAACGTTAGGGGAACGAAATTGTACGTTAAGTGATATCTGAATCAGTTGTAAAGTAGCTTTGCGTAACCGTGTCAGTTACGAAAACAGCAATGAATCGGTTATGAAATCTGAAAAACATTGAATTCATTCGCCGTGATGTAATACGTTGCTGGAGAAACGTACAGGGATACATTAAACGATTTCCGATACGGTTTTAAAATATGTGTATACCAAAAACGAACAGGTCTGAATAAAAATTTCGATAAAATAGAGTATTGTCTAGGGAACGTAAATTCGTTGAACGTGCGACGAATAAAATTTCACAGTTGATTTTACAACAGTAGCCGAACGTATGTATGTATTTACATGTGTAGCTTTTGCCTGCTTACGGATACGTGGTCCGAATCGGACGAACAGATTCGGAAATCATTGTCGAACATTAAGCTTTATCGCCTGTGCTGTGCGCACCGTCGAATTTATTTGCCAATTTGTCTTATAACCAATAAGCCCGCTGTAGAAATGGCAAATAAAAGCTGAAGAGAATTGAAAGCGAAAAAAACTGGGAGGAAACGCTTTGAATAAATTCCGAGTACTTGGTTTCTAGAGAAGATCTATATTACGATACACGACGATATGCATTGTGTCCAATGAATGTAGGAATTTGAACGTATCAAAAATAAAATGCTAAGAATATCGTCGTAATAGTTTCCGAAAATGTTAGAGAAATGTAAATATTTTAATATAATAGTATAATAATAATAATATTATTTTCATAAACTATTGAAAGCGATTCTTAGCGATCCTTTTTTCTTATACACTGTACGTGAACGTAAAAGCTGACGGCATAATTCTGTATTTCATTTTCTAATGGGAAATCTTTCGCCAAGAAAAATATTTCGTTCAGTAAAAAGAGGAATTAATTAATTGGAATTTGATGTACCTGCCGTTTGTTAAATTGAATGAAACTTGTTTGTTCCAGCAACGGAGGACAAATTCGATCTTGTATATAGAAAGAAAACTATAGATGATAAGGACGGGGTGGAGATAACGTGCATGGCAGAAGGACTATATCCGCAACCCACTCTAGATATATCCATCGAGTAAGTACTCCAACAAGCTTTCCAACCCCTTAACCGTGCGCCACGGTAAACTACCTAATTTTCTGATACTTTTAGATCTTGATAAAAACCAACTTCCGCTTCGTTGTTAACGAATTAAACGTCTGCGCACGAGGCAACGCGATCTCGCTATCGTCTTAGTTTAAAAAAAAAAAAAGAAAAAAGAGAGAGAGAACGAAACTCTAACTTGCAATTACTTTCGATATTTCGTTCAACGTTGCTGAATAAATGAATAATTAAATGAGGAAAATCGTGGAAATTCTAATTTTCCGACGAGAAAGTAGAAACGTGAAAGATTCCTGTTGAACACGTGAACGGTAATAACATTCAACGCGGCCGATGTAATAATTTTAATAACAAACGCTCTTTTGTTAACACGGATCACGCGTACAACGGCGGGACGTGTAAGAAAAATATAAACGACGAGAGCGTTCAAACGAAACTAAATGGAAAGATTGTCTTATTTTAACGCTGGAAATTACCCCCCCCCCCTCCCTCCCCCCTCCCTAGCGATAACAACGAAAATTATGAAACAGTCTCGTTGCCGTGTTGTCTGTAACAATAAACCTGGAATACAGACCGTGTAAACGGACAGAACGAAAGTTTCGAGCCACGCCACGCAAGCGTTGTTGTTATTTTAAATATTCGTAACGTCGTTCGGAATAAAATATCGAGAATTGTAAGTTCTCGATTGTCTGCAATTGTCATTCTCGTGTGATCAAATATATATATATATATATATATATAAATATTTTATATAAATATATATAAATATAAATAAATATATATATATAAATTTACAAAATATAATATATTATATATATATAAACATAATATATTATATATATATATATATATATATATATATACATATATAAATTTACAAAATTTCGTGATCAACGATTCTTCGGTGATGAAAATTTCCATAATCCCTCCACTGTGCTAAAATACCAGAGAATCTCGAATTTCACGATCTCTGCCTAACCTCGAAATTCGTTGCAAAGATCAACGCCCAAAGTTTGCAAGAACAACAACAACAACAACAACAACAACAACAACAACAGTAACAAGAGGGAAGCAAGACACGGGCGTGCGTCTCGGAAATAACATTAACATGCTAATAGCCGAGCGTTCGGTCGACATATTGCACGATATTTCGGGTTGGTACGTGGTCCGCGATAATTTTGCCAACGTCGCTTCCATTGCAGGGGTGTCCCGGAAAAGCAAACAGCGAAGCCTACCGTTACGCTGCGTGACGATGGACTGTACGATATCTTATCACGAACGGCCTTACTGGACGAAGATTTACCGGAAGCAGCGATTGTCAAATGCTTGCTCGGTATACCGAAGGCGAACTACAACGTTTCCCACCAAACCGTCTACTATCCCGGTTAGTATAAACCGTATTTTAATCTATCCTATCTATCTTCGTCTTTCTACCCCTCTCTCTCTCTCTCTCTCTCTCTCTCTTTCTCCTTCTCTCTATCTGTCTATCTATCTATCTATCTATCTTTCTCCGGTCTCCGTTATCTTTCTCTGTCGCACGCTACCGGAAGCGTTTTACCTTCGATCTCTTCATATTGCAGCGGGAAAAGGGGAGGAGGGGAGGGGGAGAACAAGGGGAAGAGAAATAGAAAAAAGAAAAAACTGGAATAGCTCGTTAATGAGGTTGGGATTAAGGGGAGGTGCAGCTCGCATTTACCGCGAATTAACGATGTTTTATCTCCCTCTCCTCCCCCCCCCCGCGACTCTTGGAAAATCGATTTACGGTTTAACCCTTTAACTGGAACGCGGCTCGGCTTGCACAGCCAGTTCCGCGACATAAATATTTGCCCCGGCCAAGTGTTGCTCTTTCATAACCGCGATGAAATTCGCCGAATGGCTTTAATCGGCACGTTTCTCTCCCGTCGCTTCGAAAGATATTCGACATTTGCCGTCATTTCGATTCGCGATGACAAACGCGAAATTGCTCGATCGAGGAATAAGATCTTTCGTTTACGACTTGGGTAACGTTGGTAACGCTCAATGAGTTGATTTTAACATTAACGAAAAGCCGAAGATCACGTAGTGTGTGGTTATTCGTTGGAGCAATTATTCAAACGATAATGATTAACGCTGACAAACGATGACGATTGACGATATATATATATTTATGTAAGGAAGTGTGACGAACTTATTCTTTCTAACAACCGTGGCTTCGACTCACACATTGTTGAATTACAGAGCTGCGCTATCGTCAAACACTGCGCGCGCGACTCCTCGCAAAGTGAGTGCCGCACAGCTTGATAACTAAAACCGTGCTACCGAATATCCATTCGTATTGCGTATTGAAATGTAATGTGACGAGATTGTCAGTGTAGATAACATCGTGTCGCCGATGTGCCTCCATGTTTAACGTATTATCCAATAATATTCGAAGAATCTCCACCTGGTTAGCGTGCAATCGTGCCTCCTGTGTGTACATGTTTTCTGTACCGTGCAACAAACAACAAGCGTCAATACAACAAATTAAACGTGATCGATTGTCAGCAAAATCAAGCCTATACGTATATATATACATATATATATATATATATATATATATATATATATATATATATATATATATATATATATATATATATATATGATACTACCTTCTATCTGTTCAAATTCATTTTTTCAATTATACTCGACAAACGATCGTACTGCACGTTTAGCAATTCCATATTTTTCGACAGCTCAACTTTGTTAGAAGTTACTTAAGAACGGTTGGGAAAGAAGAAGGGCCATCGGAGGAACAACGACTCATGATGGAAATAAAGATATTCTATCTGGCTAGTCACTTATTTTGGGGTCTCTGGAGTATCGTCAACGCCAAATTATCAGAAATTCCATTCGGTTACTGGGTAACTTTTTTTTTAACTCTTTTTTTTTTCTCTCACAATTCTTCCTATCAATCAACGTTTATATCTTTCATCTCGTTGCATTCCCATTGTTGCAGGACTACGCAGTTTCCAGATTAAAAAATTACCAATATCTGAAGGAAAAAATTGTGGCTTCTGGAGGATCACCGACGGTGGATAACGACGACGGTGTCAAAAAAATAACCATGGTAGATTGAACAAATCGACAACAGTGTACGAGCGTGACTGTTTCCTTTCTGCGACAAGTAAAAGTCTGCTGCCCGCTATATTTTCATGCGCTCGTAATTATCCTGTCAGATTCGTGACATTCACTTTCTCGTTGTTTCACGAATCAACGTCTGCGGTTTTTAACAGAAGAAAAAAAAAAAAAGAACGGAAAAGCCGACAACAACGGAACAAGATATGAAAACCAACGAGAAAAGAATTTGCGCACGCATGTATTCATATGCAGGGAGCAAAGGTAGCGCACGCGAGTGAGCGAGAGAGAAAGAAAGAAAGAAAGAAAGAAAGAAAGAAAGAGAGAGAGAGAGAATATGAACGTAGCTCAAGAATATAATATGGGAGACAACGAAAGTACACACACACACACACACACACACATACATACACATGTACACGAAAAAAAGAAAAATAAGATTGGTAAAGAAAGAAACGAGACGATGCCTTACGATAGAATTGTCTACGCCAATTGTTACGAACAATTCTGTTCAGTTTTCGATGAATACTGCTCGATACAACTACTACACGATACACGTGTGATTAATCGAAAGCTAATGACTAATGTGACTAATATACAAGATAAGACATAATCCCTTCGCTGTAATATAGAAAATGGAAAGGGACTTGCGCAAGTGCAACAGGGATATCTCTTTCGTGGACAACCTTGTCTTACGAATTACGAATGTGATATAGAATAAGAAATGCGTATGAGATATTGTCCTGACATCTTCAACTTTTCAGGGAAAAGCTGCTCAATTTTCGAATCGGGCTATCAATATTTTTAGCCGGATATTGAAAATCAAAAGGGTTGATTCCTACCGTCTATAATTACATTATATATGTATATGATGTACACGTGTATGTACGTAATGCCTATGTATATACACACGTAATATGCATATGCATGTACATATATATATATATATACACATACGCAACATACGTACGTACATATGTAAGTATGGCGAACGTACATACATGTGTGTACGTAGATGATTTGTACATATATAACTACAATTTTATTGTACCTGGATCTAATCATTGTGCTATCAAATCGTATTTTCGATCGCGTCTCGCGTGTATATACATACATATGTACTTAATTGTGAGTTGTTTTTGCACGAGCTGAGAACGTCGTGCAAAGAAACAAAAACACACGGACGTGATAAAAAATCATTACAGAATCATTACGTATGTACATGTTTGCGATGAATACTGAATCAAGATATTTTCTCCGTGATTATTTAGTATCTACTGACGTTTTATTTCTAATTCTTCCACACCGTGATATTGCGTGTTTCATTAGTGCGACATATTTCTCGGTTCAACGAAAAATGATATTTTAATAAAATTGCAAGAAACGACTTTTGCTTGTTTCATTTGTTCTTTTCATTTTCACCCTCCTTTTCCTTCAATAAATCAATCATAATTAATACAATTTGACTGGAGAGCAAAAATCTGAAATTTTATTCAAAATGGACTTTCTCGAGTTTGTTTTTAAACCGTTGTTGCATTTGCTTTTGTAAGATGGCGGTCATTGTATACAACATGTAGCGACCTATAGTTCCTCGAGTACGAGTTTCGAACACCAACTTGCACAAGCCGCAAGTGGCTGTGCGCCTAGCGTCGAAGTCAACCGATATTCGATGTTAAGCAAAAACAGAGTGCGGAACCGCTAGGATGGGTGGACCCAATCCAGCCTTAGCGAATAGTTACACAAACAAGCGTCTGGGGTTAAGGAGTCGCTGCGCCATCAGCAGGCCCCACTGGATGAGTCTAGGCAGCGACTCTGAGACGAAACGCCACAACCTTTCCTCACCTTACCCACATCATCACTTCCTACATTATCATCGCCACTTTCAATCCCTTCAAACATGTAGTATAATTATGATGATAATTCAAATTAATATCGCAATACTACAAATAAATAATAACTCCGTAATTAATTTTAGTTGTTTATATAAAAATATTATCAATATAACAAAATATATAATTACTAACAATTTAATGAAGAATTTAAATAATGAAAGTTAAATAACGAATGGTTATATATACAAGTGTCTGTAAACATTTCCATGGTGATAATAAAATTACTTACAATTTTTAAATATTCTATTGTTTATATTAAATACACATCTCGACGGAACGATTTAATGAACATAGATATCGTTGATCTAAATACTTCAAAGTAGAGGTCGCTACAAACATGGCACTGCGTACTGTTGTAGCGTTCCAATATACACTACGTGTTACTACGTGCAAGTTCGACTGTGTTAAGAGGTTATATGAATAAGCGTGGATGTAAACTCGTGTCAGTTTAACAGTTAGTTTGAAAAATATTTAATTTATTTTTTGATACTGACAACAGTTTGAAACGACAAAAATTATGGAAACTGAATCGAAAGAGCTGGTGCTGGAAAATCATTTGAGCAATGAAACAAATATACAAAATGAAGTAAACAATGAAGAAACATCATCCGTTACCAACATTTCCAATTCTTCTGATACGTCAGAAAATGTCACGCAGCTTACAGATTCGACAAGTGATTTGTCCAAAAATCCCAATGACATCGACAATGTTGCAACTTTCAAGAAACCAACTGTTAAATTAATTGGTCCAAAACGTACTCTGTCGCTGCAGAAAAATTCAAAAATATCTCCTTTAACAGACACACGTTCACGAAATCATGCTCACCACTCAGATCGCGATATAAAATCTCAGCACTCGAGAGAACTTAAGTTATATGTAGAACCATCTTGGGGAGGAAAGCCAGAAGAGAATTATAAAATTGAAATACTCAAATCTGGAATGATCATCGATACGATTTCACTCGAAGAACATAGTTACTACAGTATTGGTCGCTTACCTACGTGTCATTTGACGCTTGTTCATCCTACTATTTCAAGATATCATGCAATTTTGCAATATAGGTGTCAGCCAGATAATGAAAACGACAAAGGTTTTTATGTGTACGATTTGGGAAGTACTCATGGTACTTTTTGGAACGGAAACCGTATAAAACCTAATGTTTATGTAAGAATACAAGGAGGCCATATACTCAGATTTGGTTGTAGTCAAAGAAGGTACATTCTACAAGCTCCACCGGGAGATGAAGAAGAGGAATCTCCATATAGCTTGACGGAGCTGAAGGTATTTTTCTGTACTTTTTTATGAATATTGTTTCTTTCGTACGTAATCAACATAATTATTTTTCAAGTAAGATATATAAGATGAAATTGAAATGATTCCAGGAAATGAGAGCATCCCAATTGGAAAAAGAACATAGTGAAGACAAACCTGTTGAAAAACCCATTGAAGAACCCATTGAAGAACCCGTTGAAGAACCCATTGAAGAACCCGTCGAAAAACCCATTGAAGAAAATGAAAGTGAAGGCATCGATTGGGGAATGGGTGAAGATGCGGATGAAGAAACGGATCTACAGGAAAATCCCTATGCTTCTATTACAGACGATGACTTGGTTCTAGACGATCCTAAAAAAACTCTCAGAGGATGGTTTGAAAGAGAAGGATACGATCTTCATTATCAAGCAGAGGAAAAGGGATTTGGACAATTTTTGTGTTGGGTAGAGTAAGTGTTTACATATACGTTTCCTTTAAACGTTTTTAAATTAATTTTTAACACCGTCTAAAGAAATGAAATATCTCTGACGACTAACTTATTATTGTGAAAAATCTAGTCTTCCTACTGAAGATGTTGTTGGCCATTCAATAAGAGCAGAAGCTCTTGTAAGAGGTAAAAAAAAAGAAGCAGTTGTTCAATGCGCATTGGAAGCCTGCAAAATTTTAGATAAATATGGACTATTAAGGCAAGCAAATCACGGTAAGAATAATACTTGTAGAATTTTTTACAATAAACTTCGACTTTCTTCTCGTATGCTGTATATGTTTCATTGTTTTTGCTTTGATTGATGATTCTAAGCATGAATCTCATGATTAATTTATATATATAGAAGCAAGAAAAAGGAAAACGCGAAACTGGGAAGCGGAAGATTATTACGATTCGGACGAAGATAATTTTTTGGATAGAACAGGATCTGTAGAAAGGAAGCGTGAACAGAGAATGAGATTAGCTGGAAAGTTGGAAGAAAAAACAGAGACATACGATTCCTTGGTGAGTCTTCAAAACAACTGCTTTATGAATTTTGTAACTTCAAATCAACATGCGGATAAAAATGTTACTTATTATTATTTCAGCTCAAAAAGCATAAGGAAGTTACAGAACGGATATCACATTTGTCAACTTCGATTCAAAATTGGCAAAATGCGAATGATGCGAAGAACGATGCGACTGAAGAGGATGCGTTGGACGCTTTTATGTCAAGCTTAAGTTCGTCTGCTTTAACTAAAAGTGACATTGCTAAGATGAAGCTGGAATTGCAAAATCTCCGAAAAGAAGAGGCAGGCTTGGTTAAATTATTAAACTTGACACAACCAGTAAATCTACCAGCTCTTTCCTACAGCGGTACTACGGATCAAACTATTACTCAGGGTAAAACAGCTGTGGATCACACGCAAAATACATCAGTTGAAACAAAAAAAATTCCCAGACCACGTCAGAAAAAAGTGAGTGTATATTTACTTTGTCCACATACACTCTGTTCACAATATTCTACTAATTTTACGAAATTCTATTTATACAGGAGAAACAAATAAATCAACATGCAGTTACAAACACTGAATTATTCGAATCAAATGCCATTTCCAACACTACGGTAGAAACAGAAGCTATAGAGGAAATGGATAGTGACGACAATGACGAATTAATTTCGAATACGTTTAATGACGAAAAAAATGTTGAATCACAACGTTCTGATAGTGCTACTGTTGCCGCTGAGAACAGAGAGTCTTCTGAAAAACACGAGGAGCAACAAGAGCCTAAAATTCAAATGACGAAAAAACGTCGACGGGAAGAAAAAGAAATGTATTGTGATCAAGACATACATGCTGATAATTACTCCACATGGGTTCCACCATCGGATCAAGCAGGAGATGGAAAAACGAGTCTTAACGAAAAATATGGCTATTAAGATGAAACTGTTCTAGTAACAAACTAGAATAATTATCGAATTCTTTAAACACTGTTACCACGTGATGTACAATGTAAATATTGTATTGTACGATTTACTCATTTATCATACGATACAAATATAGCATCATACATATATGTATATGTATAATACACATTTATATTGTATTGGTTTATCATTTGATTTTATAAATGCATCTATAGGGAATTTATAATTTATTAAGTCTTTATGTCCGATTTATTTGAAAGTTAATGTCAGAATAAATTACCCATATAGTATCACAATTATAAAAGTTTGCAAATTAATTCTCTCAATGGGCTTTTTTTGTAAATAAAAAATTTGTTTCATAGTTTGATGGATACATGAAACACCACCACTACGATGAAACTACCCTTGTTGCGTAGTACTTGTATATCATTCTTTGACTATAAACAAGAAAGATGCTGGCCATTTAGCGGACTATATTATACAGGCAAGGGAAGCAGGATTTGATGGCACCTTTTGTCTGAACCGCGTGTATTCCGTGCTTGTCATATATGTATATGCTATTGCGCTCTTTATTTATAGTTCTAATGAAGTTCGATAGGTGGTAGCAGTTATCCATAGATAACAAATGCAACAGTGTGCAACAATAGATAGTAATATTGATTAGTACCACCGTTTCACCGCTACGCGGTAATATTATTTCAGTAAGTGGATAAATTGTGAACGAGCAAGAGAATTCAAAAATAGGAATAATATCGAAAAATAAACAGAGTAGTTGCAATTATTTTTACCTCTTTTGTTTCGGTGTCTGTGGAAATTTTTAAAATTACTATCGTAAAATTATATTGCAATAACACGTGTATGTATATTGGTGCATTAAACTGTTGTTAAATGCGCGTGAAATTATAAACAATAAACGTTTTACCTCGTCTTATCGAATAAAATTCATGTTAATATAGATACAGATCGTGACTAGCATGTTTTCACAACTAATTTAATGCATGTTTTTTTCCTCGTAATATTTACGAAGTTGGTTTGGAAACTTTAGTACCTTGAAATTTGGCGTAACGGTTTTCCAAATTGTAAGTGACCTAGTACTTGGAAGAGACAAAAGATGGATTATTTTGTTGGAAAAGAATTTGAAGTTTATAACTTCAGAATAAGTACGTATAAGTGTGCATACATTTGTATATTAATTTATTGACTCAAATTAATAATCATCAACCAGATAGCATAATCAATTACGAGTATATTGTAGAATTTTGAATCACTATATATTTCATTAAAAGCGATCAAGTTTAATTGTTCAAGTCTTTATGTATTATGTTACAGTATGGAATGCTATCGCATCTGTTGGATGGTATATAATTGCAGTTGTAATCTCATTTTGGTTGGCATCTCCATATATACGAGAAAAATATACAAGTTGGAAGTTGAAAAAGGATGAACAAGAATATGCAGCAAAATATCATAAAAGTAAATACAAATATGACGAAATAGCGACATTACACGTGTATTATATGCTTATTTAATTTTATCATGTCGTAGATCCTGATCTTCTGCAAAAAAGATTATCAAGTTTTGAAGCTTCGCGTCAAAAAATGCAGGAAGAATATTATCAGAAATCCATATTGGCACAACAAAAAGAAACAGAGGTACTTTGAATAGATCAACACGTGTCCTTAGTTATCATTTAGCACGAAGCAGTTGCAGAAAAAATTCAAAATTTGTTATACACGTGCTATGTTTTCTAGCAGAACGAAAAGGCAAAACAAATACCAAAATTGATGTTGGACGACAACCAATTGTTGGTGACAAGCAATAGATCAGGAAAGAAAGACAATGATTTAGCACCTTTTACAGAGAAGAAGCACAAATCGATAAGGGAAGGTAAATATATAGAGAAAATGGAAAGTAATGGATTTTTAAAGCACACGAATTGAAAGAAATTTAAATCTCACATTCCTTGTCTATTGCAGAATACAATCCATTAATGGGTCACAGTTCTAGAGGGTATCGACCCCCTAAACGCACTTGTTGTGGTAAAGGTGGTTGTGGGTAGTTATCAATGTAATTTTATCTTTCTATTTTCGGCATAACTATTCAAAAGGAGAAAATGGTTGGTTTATAAACAACAAATTTTGTAAATAATTATTAAGATGTCTTTCGTTGCAATAAAGTTATAAATTTCTAGAAGATACATCTAATATAATGTTTGAGTTATTTTGAACTTTTATATTTGTCATTTTTGCTGAAGTGGTGTTTAATGCGTAGAGAAGTAGGATGAGAGGAAATAACTGTTTATTGTTTCTTTTTTTTTTTTTTTTCGGGGAGGATTCAATTGTCAAGAATTGTCGTTAGTTTGAAAGAAGTAAACGTAAACGTAAAAAGTTTGTAAAATACTCGCATGTTGAACATCATTTTTTTTCTTCATTTTTATTAATAATCGTTACTCGTATATTGCGTAACGCTTTTGTATATCGCCTTATATGCATATGTAGTACTTGACAATAATAATTATTACTTTTTAATTATCTACATCTGTGCGCGCCTTGTGTTTGCCTGTACGCGTATGTCATTAGTCTGTATCGACCAATTTTATTAGCATCGTTTTCCTTTTCAGTAACATATTCAAAGTGGACACAATCACTTGCGCTTGTTTCATAATAAATAAGTTATTGCCTACGAAAACGCTTACGAACGAACAACTTTTTGTTTCTTTCATGCGTTTTATTTACAAAATGTAGAGAAGATTTAAGCTAAATCACTCATCAGCCTTTGCGGTTTTAATTTAGACCTAACGGCTAAAAAATACAAGTAAAATTAAAACTTATCGCGAATCGGTAGTGTTCCGGAAAGTTTTATTAGCGTTACTAGATCTTTCGATCCGAATGTTAATGATATGACGATTAGTGCACTGTGACTACAAAATATATGTATATCGTTACCCTACGATATCGATGATTTTTTTTTTTTTCGTCCGTCAGTCAACAAAAGGTCCGATCTCTTCTCGTAAGAGACTATTCTCTCAGCTATTGGCAGTGATTGACGACTCACGAAAGTTTCGTGCAATCTGTCCTCTAATCAAAAACGATGTCGATTTAATCGATTTCAACCAACGGGCCTCGGGTTATCGGGTTACATTTAATTTGCTTTTACTTTTCACAAACGGAAGAATACACCGATGTTTGCTTGTGGCTTCTGTTGCATTCTGTTTCCCCGTTTTTTTAATTAATTAATAAGCGATCGGTAACGCAGACAGACGAACCCACGCGGTGCGCGACGAGCGCAAGAACAAGCGGCGCATAAGCGTAAGAGCAATTTAGTCATAGACGCGACAACTCAACCGGCGGGCAATAGAAAGAACGGGTGTGAGAAATGCGAATGAAAGGACGACGCACGGGATTGAGAAGGAAGGATAAGGATTGCGGAGGAGAAGGGAAGAAGGGTTTAAGGCAAGGCAAGGCAAGGCAAGGCAAGGCCAAAGGAGCATAAAAGCGAGTTCTATGGGAAAGGAAAAAATTTGGATGTGTGCGTGTGCGTGTGTGAGTGTGTATGTGTGTATCGTCACAACCTGTACATGGCATTCTACTATCGTTCAACTTGATGGGATTACGCGTGTAACATGATACATACAAACAGTGCGAACCATCGTAACAATCGTGCAAATATGAGAAACTATAAAAATAATGTCATTACTTTTTTTTCGCTTCGCAGATTGGTAGGATGGTTCGGCATAACTGGTTCAAGAATCGTTCACTCGTGATTCTGTCGCGCGATTCATGCCAACGATATCACGAATTCTCGATTTTCGACTCGAAATATTATCGACTCAATGTATTCTTTAAGTAAGTAACTACTATCGATCGAACTACTATTTCCCACGTCGTGGAAGGGTTCGAGAGTGCGAAATTTATATACAGATTTGGAGTTGTGTTTGTCTTTTTCTTCGAAGGAGTTTGTTGCGTGCTTATAGAAGGATCGTTTATGTACCAGTCGTTAAAGTCCATAAAGACAAAGTTTGGCAAACTCGGTGTCTAAAGAGACTATTGGAGATAGTGTGTTTGGATATCGTTATGGCGATTACTTAAAATATAGGTACTACGTAACTACGTCTCTCTCTCTCTCTCTCTCTCTCTCTTCTCTCTTTCTTCCTTTCGTTCGAAATTTATCGTTTCCTTAAACACTCTACGAAAAAACGAATGCTCTCCTCCTGCTTTAATTTAATTTGTTACTTATACTTTCGCCCCACTTGTTTATTTTAGTTTTCTTCGTTTTTTTCTTTTCTCACCTTTCTGGATGGATTATACTCGGATATCTCTATATGTAATCTACGGATTTACCAATTTCACTCGCGCGGATAATTTTCTATACCTACATACATATGTTACACATTGAATCGTATCTCCACACCCGGTCTCTACCTGGTCTCCCGGAATTGTGATGAATTCGGCAGTGCATTTAGCGTCCATTATATCCTTCTTCGACGCTCCATACACGATATAATAAGGTATAATATAATATAATATAATATAATATAATATAATATATCGTTCGACGACCGCCGACTCACGACTCATTCAGTCATTTCTTTTTTACGTATAATATTTTATACTCTTTGTTTCCTCGTGTAAAAGAACAAACTAATTACAACGAATTTGAGCGATTATTACACAACGAGTACCTTGAGACTCTCGAGATGTCGGAATTTACATCGAGTTTCGTTCCAATTCCAAATTTCCCTTTGATCAACTCTCGCGCAACACGCGTCGAGAAGGCACCGAGAGACGTGATTTGCAAACGTGCTCGAATCGGTGATCATTCGATTTCATTTAATCAAAAATATTACGATACAACAGCCGTTCCAACACCGCGTTGCGTCTTGTTGCTTACCAAGATTTTCTTTCATCTGTCGTAAGCTCCACTCGCTACGACCAAGCAAGTTGTCTTTCTTTCTTTCTTTCGATCGGTGGAGCAGACCGACGCGACGATTGCTTGTTCCCGACTCACGTCCGAGATTCGCGGCAAAAGACGCCGGTCGACAGCTACTTTCCATTGTTATAAGATTGCTCATAGAGTAAAGAAGCTTTTACACGCACGCACGCACGCACGCATGCATATTCATACACACGCATACATACATACATAAAAAAAAAAAGAACTGTTCGATATGATATATATATATATATATGTATAATACTTCTTGCACGTCAGTCATTATTTCAATTATCTTTTGCCGCACTTATCCTTAGGAGCTATACATATAACGTTTACAAAGTATCACGTGGCGATACGTTTGCATTCACGCGACAAAGTTAAACAATTTGTTGCTTTTTTTTTTTTTTTTAATCATTTAGGAACGTTATGTCGAAAAAAAATGATAGAACCGCGCGGAACTTTGAGTGGCGAAAATCTAAAATTCGTGGGAAATAAATGCCACGTTCTAATCTAATCTAGGAGAGTACAGAACAGTCGCGTGCGCGTACGCGTATGTTTATAACGTTGCAATTGCAAATCATTGCTCACGTAGAAAAACGATGATAAATTAAATAATTTAGGGAGAAGGCTCCCTTTTCGTCGCACTCGTCAAAGATCTCGTATCCTGTTCATTTTTCGCTATATCAATCATCATATCGTCCGTCGTCCATTTTCCTCTACTCAATGGCAGTGAATGTTGCCATAGTTTGAGCAAAGAACGAAAAACATCGGTCAAGTAATTATCAAAAATATCAAAAATATCTAAAGAGCTGATACGGATACGAGGTTAAACGGAATACAGGAAAAAGAAAGAAAGAAATCGAGATGAAAGATGGTTTGCGCGATAGGATGAGGAAAAGGAAGAGGAGGAGAAAGAGGAGGAGGAGGAGGAAGGAAGAAAAGAGAAATACAGGAATAAAGAAATATCACGATTAATATCGTAGTTATTAAAAGTTTGGATATATGTATATCGAGGACGCGATTAGCCCGCAAAAGGTACTTTGAGATTGTTCGCGATACTGTCGCGCGATACTGACGGCTACGATTCGTTGCGATTCAAGTGCCTAAAATCGTTTCAAATTGAAACAGTGATTCGTACCACCGACGATCGATTCTATCGATCGGTTCTGAATCGTCCGAGAATCGTTGCGATTACGTTAGCCATCGCGAAAGTCGGCCGGCCGACTACATTCTACAGGAGCAGCGTTTGGATTCCCACCACCTACGAAAACGTTGTTCAGCTTGTTGTATCTTTGACTTCCGGAACTGCTGACTGTGTTCGAGGCCGAGGAATTGTGCTGAGAGTAGCCGCCGATTCTCGAAAAGCTAGGCACTTTGTCTGAAAGAAAATTACACCACGTTGAAAATTGACGTACGATGCATTTTACGTACGTAGAGAATTACAATATCTAATTGTAATAAGTAGACTACATCCAAGAGAAAGGTAAAGACAGACGAGCGATGTGCCCACCTTTGCCACGGTTATGCCTCAGCCTTTCTTGCGAGCCAACGCTTCCAGATTGCCTCGGGGGGATACAAGAATAATTACTGTCACCGCTGCTGTAGGTCGGTGAAGCAGTTCTAGTATTTCTTCTACGTGGACTTTTGCCGCTTCTATCTCGGGAACTTGTTTTACCATGAAGACAATTCGCCGATGTCGAAGCGAATTGGTCGTTGTATTCGAGGGTGTTCCCATAAAGGCAACTGGATTCTGAACAGGAACAACAAATATCCGAGTGTGCGTTCGAATCGCACGATTTTCTGTCCCATTCGTCGTTCTCGGGTCCTCGATAAAGGTTCCCCGTCGTATAAATATCTTGATCGTTTCGTCGGTAAATCGTTTCCTCGTTCGCCATTGATCGTTCCGAGCGTGAATCCGCTCGATTTACGTGGCTGTATGCAGAATCGTAGTCTTCCAACGGCGAGTCGTTTCGTCGACCGTACAAAAGGGAGCCGCTTTCGTACTCGTTTTCTTGATTGCCCTTGTACGAGTCGTAACAGTCGAACGACTCTGGAAACGCAGGCAACGCCGGTGGATTCGTTTGCGGCGGCAAACTCGTGTATCTGCTCTGCTGATGAATGTTGTTCGAATGCGAAGTCGAATTCTCGAACGACTGTTGTGACTGTTGTTGACCCGAGTCGTTCCAAACTGCGTTCGAACCTGTCAAATTGTTGATTATTCTGGTTGGCGGACTTGGCGGACTTTGCGAGTTTCTCGACCCAGAGCCAGAACTACAACCACCACCTCCACCAACACCGCCTCCTCCTCCTCCTCCTCCTCCTCCTCCTCCACTTCCACCTCCAGATCCTGAACCAGAACCAGAATTCGAACTTGAGCTCAAACCTAGTCCCAAAGCCAATCCTGTACCCACCGTTACATCCAAATCGTTTTGTCTTTCGATGCTCTTTTTCCCCAAATGAGGACTAAACGTTTGATGTTGATATTGCTGCTGCTGCTGCTGCTGTTGTTGTTGCTGTTGCTGCTGCTGCTGATAATGATGCTGATGCTGATGCTGAAATTGATGTTGAACTTGATGCGGATGATGGTGGTGGTGATACTGATACTGATGTTGAGGCGGATGCGGATGCGGATGCGGATGCGAATGCGGATGCGAATGCGTTCTGCAAGAACCAAGAGATCCTTCGAACGAAGGTGGATGTTCCGGGGGAGGCGGCAGCATATCGCACCAATTTGGCGGTTGATTTTCATTCGGCAGCGGCATTCTGTATTGATGAACTCTTCTTTGTGCTTCCGCGTTGTCCTCGCCGTTATAGACACTGCTGGCATTGTCGCTGCTCGGTGACACTGTTGATTTGTTTCGATCCAAGTTCGAATCTAAACTCGAATAGTCTGGCTTTAGACAAGAGTCGCTGGAATTCGACTTTCGACCAGTGGTTTCTATCGAATCCGGGCTACGAGCAGGCATGCAAAGTGTCGTTGTAGCGTACGGTTCTGGCGGAGCTTGCAGCTGTTTCCGAGCGTTGTAAAATGTCGTTAGATTCACTTCGGCGTATTCCGAGCCAGTCATTCCAACGATTCCCGGTGGGAGGCCGATTTGATTTTGATTACTCAACAATTTCGTTTCACAGTCCTTATCGGTGGAGGCAGCCTGGAGGGTGTTGCTCGGTCTCCAACCACGTTCCAGCCACAGAGTGTCCTTGTTTAATTGACAAATATCATTGGCCGTGCCGACAGGAACGTTCAAATGGCCAAGCTGTTTGCTCATTGCTTGTCTCCGTCGAACGTAAACGGCTCCCAATAACGCGGCGATAACGGTCAACACGACCGTTATCATTAGAATGAGAAACCAGGTTTCACTGACGACAGAGGCATTCCTCTGACTCGGATCTGTCCGCGGTGGCAATTGCGTCAATTGTCCGGGATCCATGTTCAAAACAGTTGGACTGGAGAACGGTCCAAGACCGACGCGAGTTAATCCAGCAACTCGCGCCGTATAAAGACCACCTGTCGTTAAGCTATTGATAATCACCGACGTCGTCGACGCATTTAAAGACATTTGGCCCAAAATCTTGTTGCTATTATTGCTCTTGATTTGAATCTGACGGAAAATGAAGGAAAATTAACTTTAACCTCCACTCGACTCGACCACAATATCTGGATGGATTGCGTCGATTGGTCAATAATCATACACGCATGCACATTACCTTATATCCTATTAATTGTCCGTTTTGTGTACTTTTCGGTGGCGGAGACCAACGGACGAACGCCGATGTTACGTTTATCATGCCGACGTGAACATTTTCTGGTGCTCCGGAAGGTACGTCTTCCAGGGTGGTTGCCAATTTCACGTTACTCGGTCTCCCTTCGATAGTCTTGAAAAAAGGAACTAGAAAAAACTCGTAACGCGTGTACTTGTTCAAGTTGGTTAAAACGTAGCTGGTTGCTCCGGCGTTTAGTACGGTGACCATCCGATATTCCGGCTTCTCGGAAACTTGACGATATCTTATGTACAAGCCTTCGACCAAATCGGCAGCTCCGAGTATCTAAAGGCAAACAACACACGATAGAAATCACGAAAACAACAAACGGACTGTCCAAATGTTGCAGGAAGGAGGAAGCATCGACTCCGATGTTATTCGAGGTCGCTTTTGCTAACTGCTCTGCAAACACTTACGTCCCATACAATCTTGACGCTGGTGCTGCTCAAAGGCTGAACATCTTTCAAGTAAAGAATCTCACTATTGAGCCGATCTCTCGCTCGAACTAGTTCGGTTTGAGGAATCGCGTGCTGGTCGAAATTGGTTGTGCGCGCCACATCCGAAAACGGACTAGGAACGGAAAGACCCTGACTGTTTCGAGCACGAACAAGGAACACGTAACTCGTGTCTGGCTTGAGATTCGTAACCTGTAACACGAAATAAAGAGCGGATTACGTCGTCGTTGTTTGTTGGTTCGTTCGTTCGTTCGTTCGTTTGTTAAACGTATAATGGAGGCAAATGTTAATAGCGTATTTATGTACAGCATATATTCTTACAGTATAGATGTCATCTTTTATTCCTGTTCCGGCAACAATCCAGCTCGTCTTTGGATTTGTAGCAAAATATTCGACGGTGTAATCGACTATCTTGCTAGCGCCTTCGTGTCCCGGACTCCAGGTGAGCGTCACCGTGTTGCTGGTGGTATTCACTATTCTTGATTTGCTCGGACTTTCGGGAAGTACCGATATGTCTGGCACGATACTGTGATAACTCGTTCCTGGACTAATCGTCAAACTGGCCGACCATGACGTGTTCCCGGATTCGGAGGACGCAACACACCTGTACACTCCCGCGTCGCTTAATTGAAGATTTTTCAGAGAAAGAGTGCCGTTATTGGCGATCGCCAGCCGATCATCGCTACCACCGATTCGTACAAGCTCGTCGTTCTTGTACCATCGGATTTTTGGAGTAGGTCTCCCGAATGCACGGCACGGCATTGAAACGTCGCTATTCGGAGGCAATGTTTGATTGGTTGCTCCAATTTCGATGACAGGTGGTGGAACCTCCTCGACCGATGTAACCTGATCGAAAGATAAAAAAAAAAAAAAAAAAAAAAAAAAAAAAAAAGATTGACTTTTTAGTAATGTTCCAAGAACGCTTACGTTCGTTACCGTCTTCTCACACACACACACACACACAGATGTGGTTTGCGTCATCGCGAGGAATATCGAAAAGGAAAAAATGGAAGCACTAGTACCTGAAGGAAAACTGTGGCTGTGCTCGCACCAGCCTGACTGATTGCGCTGCAAACGTAATGTCCTTCGTCCTTCCCAAGTACACTCTTAATATGTAAACTTCCGTCTTCTGTAATTTTGTAACGACCTTGGTATTCATTTGCAGGAAACATTAGCTCCTGAGAGCCTTCCCGGGTCCAAAAGATCGAAGGCTGTGGGGCACCACGAGCCGCGCAGCTGAACGAAACGTTCGAGCCGACGCTGACTATCTCGTCTTTTGGAAAACTGCTGAATATCGGTCTCGCTGGAGGAAACAAAACAAAAAACAGAAAAGAAAAAGAAGAAAGAAAACAGAGAGAATTACAAGAGCACGCGCTTCTTTGCCGATTGATTGATGCAAACGTGCTTTCTCTACTTACAATGTACTATCAACGTTGCGCTCGCAGATATGGCACCGACGCTGTTTTCAGCGTCGCAGATATACGTCCCTTGGTCTTGCGACGTTACTCTTTCGATTCGCAAGCTTTTATCGTCCAAAATATGCGCTCGCCCGATCGGCATTTTCCCATCGTTTCTTCGCCAGAGAATCTCAGGGGGAGGATCACCGCCTACGCGGCAAGCGAATTCCGCTGTTTGATCAGCCAAGATCGTTTGATTCGCCGGAGTCGACAAGAAGAATGGCTTCACTAATGACAACGAATAAACGGAATAATTGAAATATTACTCAACTATCGCACACGTTGCTTTGCATCGTCGGTACGTACGCATAGATACTTGCTTTCTTCGACGTTGCAAACATTACTCACCGTGAACTGTCAGAGTTGCCACTGCAGATTCCTTCACACCCACCATGTTCTCAGCAACGCATTGATACTTGCCCTGGTCAGTTTGCCTGACATCCGAGATCATCAAATTCCCTCCGTCTACCAAGGTGATACTGTGAAAAAGCAATTTTGCTATGTATCTACGTCGTATGAAATCTAACACACCTAAATTAAATCGATCACGTAACTGTCTCTATATTATACTAACAATCGATCAATTTTATTATTCCTTCTTCGTGGTTGATTTTGATTAGTTAATCTCAAAATCGATGCATCCATAAACATTAACAATCCTGAGGGAAGCGAGATGAATGGGTATATGAGTAGATAGATAGATAGATAGATAGATAGATAGATAGATAGATAGATAGTTAGATAAATAGATAGGTAGATAGATAGATAGATAAATGGATAGATGGGTAGATAGATGAAGAGAAACACAGAGAGAGAGAGAGAGAGAGAGAGAGAGAGAGAGAGAGAGAGAGAGAGAGAGAGAGAGAGAGAGAGAGAAAGGGGGAAGAGAGCAGATTACCGTTTAGTAGTATCCAAATCTATGGTATGACCGTTCCTTTTCCAATGTAGCGTTGGCTCTGGATGACCCCGGGGTGGTCCGCATTCTAATAAAGCAGTCTCTCCAGCTGCGACTCTTGTATTTTGCGGTTCTGCACGAAATTCATCCCTTAACACTGTAACAAAAAAAAAA